GCCCGGTAAGCATCTGCGTCTACCTGAACGTCAGGACGCCGTGTGGCCGCCTGACCCAGCGAGACAGGAACGGACGAACCGCCTCCACCGTCGCCTCGTCGTCGTCGTCGGAAACCTAACTTTCCGAAACCTAACTTCTTGAAACCTAACTTACGGAAACCTAACTTTTAGAAACCTAACTTTCGGTAACCTAACTTACGAAAACCTAACTTTCCGAAACCTAACTTACGGAAAACTACCTTTTGGAAACCTAACTTACGGAAACCTAACTTTCGGATAACTTTCCGAAACCTAACTTCCCGAAAACTTACTTTCGGAAACCTAACTTTCCGAAACCTAACTTTCGGAAACCTAACTTACGGAAAACTACCTTTTGGAAACCTAACTTCCCGAAACCTAACTTACGGAAACCTAACTTTCGGATAACTTTCCGAAACCTAACATTCGAAAACCTAACTTCCCGAAACCTAACTTACGAAAACCTAACTTTCCGAAACCTAACTTTCTGAAACCTAACTTTCTGAAACCTAACTTTCTGAAACCTAACTTTCTGAAACCTAACTTACGGAAACCTAACTTTCTGAAACCTAACTTATAGAAACCTAACTAACGGAAACCTAACTTTTGAAAACCTTTTTTTTTTATGTCGGGAAATGCATTTACGCATCCCCCAGGTGGTGATGTGGGGCTCACCGGCTAGAAGACCCGGTACTACCCACTAAAACCCGACATTCCCCTCCCCTCCGCCTTAATGGGACGCCGCAGGATCGCTTGCGCATAACTACTACGGCGCCCCGGCGGCAGGTCTGCCAACGGCTGACCACCACACTGATGGGGCTGCTCCACAGTCAACTCGGCTACACCAGAGAGGTACCCGGAGCAGCCCCATTAATCCGAACCTCCGCCCACCGAAGTGGACCACCTCCAATCGGCTGCAGAGGACAGGGAGAGCGGCAACGAAACACCGACACTCCTCTTCCCCTGCAGCCCCACCGCGTCCGCCATCAAACGGTGGCGGCCCCGCTAGGCCGCGGGAGATAGGGACGAGCGGCGCATCGCCATACCGACACTCCTCTTCCCCCGCGGCCCCCCTACCGTCGGCCCACTTCCGGACCAAAATGGCTGCCGACACCCCACGCCAGACGCAGGACCACCGCACTGGCCCCGCTCCAGCCGCCGCACCGACGGGCTAGCCCCGGCAGCGCGGCCCGCGCAGCGCCTCCTACCGCGAAACGGCCGGAGACACCGCGCTACCTCCAAGAAGGAGACGGCGCCCTCCTGACGCCGCTCCCCCCTCCCCTCCTGGCTGTTGGTCCGCGCCGGATTGCTCCGGTACCACAAGCTCCTGTCGGGTCCAAACAGTCGCGAGTGGTGTTCCCCTATCCGCCACCCGGGGACGCGTCCGGTAGCAGTCAGCCTCTGCCCCGGAAACTTTTGAAAACCTAACTTTCGGAAACCTAACTTTCGGAAACCTAACTTACGGAAACCTAACTTTTGAAAACCTAACTTTTGGAAACCGTACCGTGTGGAGAGAGGGCACAACTGTGCTAACGTTAAGAATATGCTCCGTAATATTCTTTAAATACAAAATATAACCAGAAAAGGTCTGAATTGCAGTGTAAAGTAAAAATAAGTTAACAAGAAATGAGTACAATTGAAGGTAATGGTTACAACCTAATAAAAATATATTTAGTGCTTGAAATCGTGGTTTGTGGTAATCGTAACGAAATTCAGTTATACCACAGATCATATAATACTATACTAGTACAGATAGTCGAGTCCATACAAATATTTGACTTTGCTAATCCGCGCTCTCAAGGTCTCAAGGTCACTATGGCAATTACAAATTATATTGCTTAGAATAGTGTCTTAGAGACTTGAGTCACGGTAATATTACATACGTTTTTTTATTTATTTAAGTGCGTGTATCTTTAAAATCTAAATCTACCGTGTCCAATTTGAAACATTATTTTCTTGTTTTATTATTACATTTCATTTCGTGTTTTATATATTGCATAGACTATGTATATATAAATATTATTATTTTTTTAACGCAAAAAAATTTAAACGAGAAATAACGAAATTAACCTATGAGCTATATCGGTATCATTATATATATATAACAATATATATATAATAGATCGTCGTTGTGTAAATTGATATACATGAAGTAATAATATCTAATAACTCATTGGAATATTATTCGCCAAACCTAACCCAAACCAAAAAAACAAACAATATATATATAATCGATCGTCGTTGTGTAAATTGATATACATGAAGTAATAATATCTAATAACTCATTGGAATATTTTTCGCCAAACCTAACCCAAACCAAAAAAAAACAATATATATATAATCGATCGTCGTTGTGTAAATTGATATACATGAAGTAATAATATCTAATAACTCATTGGAATATTTTTCGACAAACCTAACCCAAACCAAAAAAAAACAATATATATTTAATCGATCGTCGTTGTGTAAATTGATATACATGAAGTAATAATATCTAATAACTCATTGGAATATTTTTCGCCAAACCTAACCCAAACCAAAAAAAAACAATATATATATAATCGATCGTCGTTGTGTAAATTGATATACATGAAGTTATAATATCTAATAACTCATTGGAATATTTTTCGCCAAACCTAACCCAAACAAAAAACAAAAAAACAACATATATATTTAATCGATCGTCGTTGTGTAAATTGATATTCATGAAGTAATAATATCTAATAACTCATTGGAATATTTTTCGCCAAACCTAACCCAAACCAATAAAAAAAACCAACTATATATATAATCGATCGTCGTTGTGTAAATTGATATACATGAAGTAATAATATCTAATAACTCATTGGAATATTTTTCGCCAAACCTAAACCAAACCAAAAAAAACAATATATATATAATCGATCGTCGTTGTGTAAATTGATATACATGAAGTAATAATATCTAATAACTCATTGGAATATTTTTCGCCAAACCTAACCCAAACCAAAAAAAAACAATATATATATAATCGATCGTCGTTGTGTAAATTGATATACATGAAGTAATAATATCTAATAACTCATTGGAATATTTTTCGACAAACCTAACCCAGACCAAAAAAAAAAAACAATATATATTTAATCGATCGTCGTTGTGTAAATTGATATACATGAAGTAATAATATCTAATAACTCATTGGAATATTTTTCGCCAAACCTAACCCAAACCAAAAAAAAACAATATATATATAATCGATCGTCGTTGTGTAAATTGATATACATGAAGTAATAATATCTAATAACTCATTGGAATATTTTTCGCCAAACCTAACCCAAACCAAAAAAAAAAAATATATATATAATCGATCGTCGTTGTGTAAATTGATATACATGAAGTAATAATATCTAATAACTAATTGGAATATTTTTCGCCAAACCTAACCCAAACAAAAAAAAAAACAATATATATATAATCGATCGTCGTTGTGTAAATTGATATACATGAAGTAATAATATCTAATAACTCATCGGAATATTTTTCGCCAAACCTAAACCAAACCAAAAAAAAAACAATATATATATAATCGATCGTCGTTGTGTAAATTGATATACATGAAGTAATAATATCTAATAACTCATTGGAATATTTTTCGCCAAACCTAACCCAAACCAAAAAACAAAAAAACAATATATATATAATCGATCGTCGTTGTGTAAATTGATATACATGAAGTAATAATATCTAATAACTCATTGGAATATTTTTCGCCAAACCTAACCCAAACCAAAAAAACAAACAATATATATATAATTGATCGTCGTTGTGTAAATTGATATACATGAAGTAATAATATCTAATAACTCATTGGGGTCACCTAACAGCCCCCTAAGCGAACGGACGCGCTCACTGCGTCGGAAACAGTGCTCCGGTCGAAGAAACGGCGTTTAAAAGCTTTAAAAATCGCTAAATAATAGAAAAAGGACTGATAATTTGCCAAAAACTGTGTAATATTGTGTGTTAAGTGTCAACGTATATATATATAACAATAGTGACAAAAATTGTGCACGGAATTAGCCAAAAATTGGCCAAAAGTGAAAAACTTAGACATTTTTAAACTGTTTTCGCGTGCGGCGCTCGATCTAGATCGATAAGGTACTATTTTTATTTGTGCGTTACAAAGTGCTCATGAAGACCTATCCAACGACACCACTCCCGGAATTTTTGGATACCGGGAAGTGGTTAAAAAGTTCAAAAAAACAAGTTGGACAAAATTTCTCTTTCCGTAACGGAGAGAGATAGAGACTTCAAACCACCACCACTAGAGAGAGCTGGACGCGCCGTTAACAAAAAGGTATCGTGCATAGCCGTAACTTAAACAGTGACGAAGATATAGACATTTTAAAATTTTGAAAAATATCGACTAACTTCAGAAGAAGATTAAAAATTATCTTCAGTGACGACCCCTGTAAAAATTTATTAAAAAGTGAAGAGCAACTCTCCTAGTTTTTTATAGTGAAAACCGCAATAAAATCCGTTCAGTAGTTTTTAAGATATTAAGCAATCAACTCTGTCAAAAACTGACCTACGGACCCCGAGTTCGGGCTCATTTTAAAGATCTTGGCTAGCCCAACAACCCCCAATCATCAGATCCCGAATACCTCCACCACCACCACCCCACATTTTAAAAAACTTAGTTTTTATCATAGGTTCGTGTTATTTTAGGAAGGATCCCTTCCATATTGGAAGCAAATTAGGTTAAAGCTATAGTTAAGATAGAGTAAGACAATTAACGAGCTCTTTACACTCGTTAAATTATTAAAAATTCATATATTTTGACTTGTACTGACGAGAAGCCAATTCTGACAAAAATGTCTAAACAAGCCGCAAAGTCCTCTTGCGTCAGAAAGAGTGGAGGCCAAACAAAGCCTAATCCACCGGAACCAAACATGGATATCCTCAAATAAGAGGCAAAAACCGTCCTAAAGACTGCTAAGCAGCACATGGAATCGTCCGGAAATTTAAAAACGACCATAAAGGAGGCAGTCCTGAGCAGTTTGAACAGACTATACGAAATCGTGGACCTCCTAAACGACTCAAGACTGTCACTCAAGAATAATTTGGAAATAATAATAGCCAACCGGGCAAAAGAAAAAGAACAGACGCAAGAAACATCCACAACTGCACATATCCTCAAAGTTCTGGAGGCAATTAGAGATCAAAACCTCATCTCGAAAACAACCCAAGCAGCCCTATTACTAATAACAGAGGAAATGCAGACAATAAAGGACCAACAAGCTGTACAACTCAAAACACTAGAGATCTCGTGTAAAGCCCCAGCTAAACTGGTGGAAGCAGCAGAAGAACAGAACAGCATTAGTGAGCAGACCCGACAAACTCTTCAATCCCTGACGGAAGAAGTAAGGGAAATGAAAGAAATAGTAACGGAAACAATAACAACAACACCTACAATACAAATAGCAGACCCAATCCAGAAGCAAGAGATCCAAGTATCACCAAAAACATACGCAGAAGCAGCAACAAATAACGTAAAAACAGCAAAAACTCACTGCCTACTAGTCGGAACTGACAACGGAATAGATACAAGCGAAGAAGTCATGGACAAAATCAGAGACACTTTGGATGCTAGGAAGTCTCGGCTACACATATCAAAATTAAGGAAAGTCAAAGATCAAAGGGTGCTCCTAGGCTGCGAAAACAAAGAGGACTTCGAACAGATAAAGAAAAAATTAGAGAAAGGAAACTTTAAGGTGGAAGTGAAACAGAATAAAGACCCATTAGTAATAATTAGAAATATACTGGCAAGCAACACGGACAAGGAGATAATACAGGCATTAGAAGAACAAAATGAAGAGTTATTCCAAGACATCGAACCAGAAGAATATAGAATAAAATTCAGGCATAGAAGGAAAGCGAGAAACCCAAAGGAGACCCACGCAGTACTGGAGGTCTCACCACAGGTTTGGAAAGCGATGACCTCTGCAGGAAAAGTATACGTGGATATCCAAAGGGTCCCAGTTTTCGACCTTTCCCCACTGGTGCAGTGCTCAAGATGCTTAGCTTTCGGACACGGGAAGAAGTGGTGCACGGAGACAGTGGACCTGTGCAGCCACTGTTCTGGCCCACATATGCGCAGCGAATGCCCTAGCCTGCAGGCAGGCGAGGAGCCTTCATGCAAGAACTGCTTGCAGGCCAAACACGCAAAAGCAAACCACAACAGCTTCGACGTGCACTGCCCAGTGCGGAAAAAATGGGACGCTCTCGCCCGCTCCAGTGTGGCATATAGTTAAGGCTACAAACGAAACACAACACCGCATCAGACTCAATCTGCAAGGTATAATGAATATACCTCGAGGCAATTTTATTTACCCCGAATGCACAAGTCGGAAAAGCACATAGATCTCACCACTGCAAACCTGTAACAGGAAACATTAAGTTTGCTGAACAGTGTAAAACAGTAGGCTCACAACCACGAAATATATTATAAAAAAAATATATACAATTAAGCAAGAAAATAACGTACTGAAAAAAAAAAAAAAGTATAAAAAACACAGTACTCATCTAGTAGTAGAAAATAATAATAGTAAGGAAATAGTATTAAATTATATTATAATTAATATAAGCGTAATACTAAGAAAGCTCTGGGGGACGCCCTATAGGATGGTGCGAAACCAGCTCCGTCCTTGGGCTCCCCCACTTACGCAGTCTCTCCAGCCCAGCGTAGTCCGGGAAGTGGTCGCGGCTCTGTTTCCCCATGGTGTGCAGGCAGAACATCAGCCGCCACCAATGGCCCCACGGGTAACGAGGGAGGAGGAGAGAGAAGTCCCGGAAGTTGCTGAAGAGGAGCTGGAAAGTGCCGTAGCTCGCCTCCGGGCAAAGAATGTCGCCCCCGGCCCTGATGGTGTCCCAGGGAAAGTGTGGGTTCTGGCCATGGAGTTCTTGGAGCAAAGAGTTCGAGGACTATTTACTGCCTGTCTGGCTCAAGCCATAATTCCACAGCGGTGGAAGACAGGCAGACTAGTCCTCCTCAAAAAGGAGGGGCGGCCCGCGGAATCTCCGTCTGCGTATCGCCCCATCGTCCTCCTCGACGAAGTGGCCAAGCTCTTCGAGCGTGTGGTGGCCGGGCGTCTAGTGGCGCATTTAGAGCAGGTGGGACCCAACCTCTCCGACGTCCAGTTTGGCTTTCGCGGTGGCCGTTCCACCGTGGATGCCATTCTGCGCGTCCGGTCCCAGGCGCAGGAAGCAGTCTCCCGGGGCGAAGTCGTTATCGCGGTGTCGCTCGACATCGCGAACGCGTTTAACGCATTGCCCTGGAGCTGCATAAGGGAGGCGCTCCGTTATCATGGGGTGCCGACCTACCTCCGTCGCGTCGTGGAGGCCTACCTGTCGGAGAGGTGGGTGACGTTCCCAGGACAGAATGGGTGGGAAAGTCGGGAGGTGGTGTGCGGTGTTCCACAGGGGTCGGTGCTTGGACCGCTCCTGTGGAACATCGGATATGACTGGGTGTTAAGGGTGCCGGTCTAAGAGGTGTTAAGGTCACATGCTATGCTGATGACACACTAGTTACAGCTCGTCAGGCGACCTATAGAGAGGCGGCGATATTGGCAACGGCGGGGGTTGCACATGTTGTGGGGCGAATCCGGCGGCTGGGTTTGAACGTGGCCCTGGAGAAGTCGGAGGCCGTGTGTTTTCACGGTCCTCGGAGGGCGCCGCCTTTGGATGCGCACATTGTTGTTGGAGGGTTCCGCATAGACGTGAAGAGGACATTGAAGTACCTCGGCCTTGTGCTAGATAGCCGGTGGGACTT